GTAGTAAGTTGTAAAATTCCTTGCGTTATTTTTCAAAGTGAAACGCGAATAAGCATAAAAAATAAAGTAGCATTAAAAAAAGAAGAAAATGAATAAGAAGAAGAAGAATACATTATAATTTAAAGGTTTATATTATATAGGATAATATTTTCGCACAAACAGCTGTTGAGCATACCATCAACAATGATAATCACAATAATGACTTCTGAATGATAACAAGAAACAATCCCGACAAAAGCAATAGAGAAATAAATATAATTGACCCTTTAACAAAGGTTCGCGGATATGTTGTTTTGTATTTTCATTCCTTGTAACCAAGACGTGAAGATTATCGGGGATAACTCGCGTTACTATCAAACAACGGCACATGTTTGGGGTAATTGTACAACTGCACGTAAAGCGAAGCAAATCTCTTCAGGTAAGCCGAGATGTATTGATTGTTCTTTAGATAGACTACCTGTCAAACCTGCTGTCCATCTATTAAAAACATCGTGGTTACGCCCGCTTGTTTATCGTTTCCACGTTAGCCTTTTGTGTATGCTTTAATCTATATTTTTCCTTTTTGTAAATACAGATTAAAGACTTGAATTTATTTCGATTTTGATTCTTTTTCTTATTTAAATGCTCGGGCGCCTTAAGGGGTTCATAACATGTTAACCGACAAAAGTTTGTTTAGTAATTAGCTTTAGAATCCTATACTAGTCAAAGGACACATAATGTTCACGAAAATTCCACAACTTGGATTTAGTGGACGCTATTACTAGAAGTTTCACGTTGCCCAAAACAGAGCAGAACAGTAGTTTCCATAATCAAATGGCAGTTTATTTGGAAGTTTTTGCACATCATTATAAGCAACAAACTAATACAGAGAAAACTAACAGCAATTTTATAAAAAGTTATCTTAACCTGTTCAACTCTTAACTAAGTGGTGGCAAGCAGCGTAACTCTGACTTTAAAAAAAATAACTAAAGACTGTTATTATTGCAGCTAAGGAAAAGTTGGTAAAAAAAAAAAAGAAAAACTTACCACAGCACTTATCTACCTATACGATAAAGGAAATTAAAAAGAAAAAAAATTTAAAAAATATTCTAGGCTCGTTATTCGCTAACTTTGTTTAGAACGTCACTTCAAGTAAGTAAACAATGAACAGGAGCCAGCAGGAGCGTACAGTGAAGGAGTTCACGAAAGAAAAGGATTTTTTTTTTTTCTTTCATTTACGACTTTTTTTCCGTCCTTTTGAAATTGAAGCCAACCATATAAGAAAAAAAAAAAAAAAAAAAAAAGCTGCCAAACAGATTTAAAGTAGACATGACGGCAAGTTACAAGTCCCTGGGAGGATTTTTGGAATTTTGGAAGGGAAGTGCAGAGATAGGACAACTGTATGTGTCCAGAGAGAGTTTAAGTATGTTTTCGTCTATAATGGTCACAATGTTGAGATAGTTCTACAGTGATAATATTGTTATCAGCAAACCACAACCACACACAACACAACCACAACAACGACATCAACGGCACAAAAACAAGATAACTGGTTTTTACCGCTATTCATACACTTTAATAGTGTTTACTTGCAAACTTTTCCTTCAATGCAAAGTTTTCCTAAGAGTTCAAGTGCTTCAGACAATAGCCCACTTCTACTCGCTACTCATATTTGATAGTTAGTATGTATAAAATGAAATAGAAATATATATATGTATATATATATTTTATAAATATTAAAATAATCAAAAAGTAATATATACATATATATATATATGAAAGGCGAAAACTCAACATTTTCCCATCAAATGACAAAGAAAGAAAAGATTGAAAGTTGCACGTGTATAGAAAACAATGCATATCATGTATATATGAATAGTGGCGCACCCTTACTCTTACTAGTTATTCAAAAACTTTATTATTTTTTATTTTTCCATTGTTAATAATGCACAAAACACATATTTACATGCATTTTTATTCAAGCATATCCGTATGCTTGAATGCACGCTTTTTACAACTACCATCAGCAAATGGAATGCTTTGGGTATAATCAGTCACTGACAACGTTTGAAGGCATCAGCAGCACCCGTAACCGTTTCAGACAAAAATTGATAATGATTATCAAAAAACACAAAATTAAAGTTCGAATATTTAAGACTAGAACTACCGACATTTAGCATATATCTGTTCCTACCAACATGAGTTAATTTGCGCAGAAAAGCATTCAATAAACTTCAAACGACGTACGTATATATGCAAAGTGTTGTCTTTAACCCGTTAAGTGTAGGAGTATTGATAAATCGTGCGAAACCATTTTCGAACGAAACTTTTAGGTGATTCTGGCGGAAGTTTGAGTGTGGCAGTTTTTTTCTAACTTATCCAAACTGTATATGTGCACGTAAGTCTATCACACCAATGAAGGAATTTTTGTGTCAAACTTTAGCTTTTTATTTTTATTCTTACAACCGATCCATTGGATCGGATATCTGGATATCTGGCATCGGCATCTCAAAAACTAGAGTAGGTAGAAAAAGAATTGATTGCCGCATTTGTACGGTTTTTCCATATAAATAAAAGTCATTCAGAAATTATTTCGAACTTTATATGGCTTATAACCACTTTTTTGAAGTTTCAAAAGTTGAAAGGACTCAAATTGACTTACGCGGCAGTTCTAGAACAAATTACAAAATCGTAAATTGTTTACACATCCATCTTAATTACAAAACCTAACCATTATTGATGAACAGATAGGGCAACAACATCTTTTTCTAGCGACTAAGATAAAAAGCAAATAAAACTAAATTTTAACGACACTCTTTTAGATTTCGAATGCATTAAAGGCGGGCTACGTTCGAGTACATTCATAAGCAGTGCGTTCCATGTACGCAAAAGAAGTCTCAACTCAAGTTAATAATCAATTTTTCAAATTACAATTGAATGATTACTTAAAAGGTCAATTGCTTACGACCATTGTGCGGAAGTTCGCATTGTCACATGTTCACATGGATGCCCAAAATAGGCAAGAATCGCGATTACCTCATATGTGTGGTCGCGGGTTCAAATCTCAAACGGCTAGTCTTTACTTTGCTCGCATATACAGTGAGCGTGCAAAACTTTTTTGCTTCCCTGGAAACCACTATGGGAAACTTGCATATTAAATAGAGTTAGTCGGATAATTTACGATCATTGAAAGCCACGGAAACGATATCTTCAATTCATCCAGAAGCGAAAAGAATCAATCGAAGTTGGTTAATTTGATGGAGACGTTTTTATTGGCAACTTTTTTAATGGCACAAATGCGTTGATGCTGCGAAATGCGAAAATTCCAATTCCAATTCGCGTTCGCCATTCGCATTCGATAAAGCATTATGAACGCGTTAGTTTAAAAATATAAACGAAAATGTACCTAAAATGTTGTTACATAAATTTGCTGAATGCTTCAATTTTGCTGATTAGGTTAACATTCAGGCATTCAGTCAAAAACGGCTCTACTGTCTGTGATGAGAGATCGATCATCATCTGGCGAACGGGAGTTTTAATAAAAAAAAGTTGTTTTTTTTTTTTATAATTTGCAGACACCATGTCATCATGGAAATGGAAAAATGGGTCGCGACAAAATGATAATATCATTATTAAATCATTTACTCCCAATTATTTCGGCTTCGCTATATTATATGCGTCGATAGCGCTTTAATTTTTTTTTTCAATTTTACGTGCACTAAAAACCATATGCAATCATACAATTAATGAATTGCCCTTTAATTCACGGTATATATAAGAGAAACGAAAACATTAAAAAGAACTATAAAATAGAATTCCAATACATTGTTTGGAAAGCACGTAAAGTCAGATTTTGCCGCCATACAAAATCACTTTAATTTTCCGCACCTCCGCAGCCATATTTCAAATATGTGCAATATGGATGCATGTGCGGATAAAGTTACCAGTTCCCGTGCGGGGCTTAACCATTTCAAGTTTATTATGGATACGATTTAAAAAGAGGAAAATTTATTTATTTTATGAGTTGTGCGATTTCTTGAAGTTGTTGGGAAGGAAAACATTTAAACGTTAATATGCATTGTTTTTTATTTTTATTTTTTTTATTTTTATTTTTTGGTAAGAAGGTAAACGAGTATGTATGTGTAAGTATCGATTATGTGTAAACGGAAAAAAAAATGAGATTGCTTTGTATGCATATATGTGCATATACATGTGCGTGAGGCGTTTACATTGTAAAAGAATCTTTAGATTCAGGCGTAATTTTCAATTAAAGGCCCTTTGGTTATTGTTGTGCTAATTAATTGAAATATTTTTGCACTTCTTGCTTTTTTTATACTTTAATAACAAATCTACATAGGCAGATGCATGTATGAGCCGCCGTAAATGTGCACATGTATCATCTATATACATATATATATATATATATATAAACAATGACTCAAGCAAATATTTTACGTATAACTTATATACATTAAGAGAAATTAACTCACACTGTTGACACTGAAAAATGTATCTAGACATTGGAGCAGCACGGTGTCATTTTGTGGGCAATGTTGTTGTGCTTATTAAGATAATGTACAGATAATATGAAAAGCGCTTATGTGCTCATATATATGCATATGAATGGATATGCAGTTCGTCTCTTTTTTATGTGCACACAATCAAACTTTTTGTATATCAACTTTTACTTCAAGTACAAAAGTTATAAACAAAAAATGAAAAACACGAAGATGACGAAGAGACGAAGAGAAAAAACTGATTGTTTTTATTTATTTTTTTTTTTTCGTATTCGATATATGCAAACAAATGTGTGCGTTATTTATCTACGTGTATGTGGGTGTTTTGTTATGCGTCAAATCGAAAATAAAAAGAATAAATAAAAATTCAACATGAATAATGAAAGATGATGTATGTAATATATGTGCGAGGGTGTTGAGTTTGAGTGTGTGTGTGTGTGTGTGTGTGTGTGTGTGTGTGTGTGTGTGTTTGTGTGTGTGTGTTTGTATACGTTTCCATGACAATCACATAAAATTATTTTTCTCTTCATCTTTGCATTTTCTCCTTTCTTCTTTGCTTTGCTGTATGTACTATGTTCACCGAGATAGGTATCGCGAAATTTCTGATGTAAAATTTCTGGAAGCCACCTTGAATTTCTCAATATAAACCCTGAGCTAACACAATAATATCGTCTTTAAATCTACTCTGAATATCTGGACTAAAAGTAAGCCTTGTCTCATTTACATCACATCTTAATAAAAATATTCCTCTTCAGATAAACGTTTGATCACTGCAACGATAATATATGGATTTTCCCATTTTGGCATTTTCTCAAAACACATTTGTAGCTTCTCAGCTGTGCACGGCGCGAAGCATTTTTAATTGATTGATTTGGATCTTCAATGAACGATTACAAGAAGGACCAAAATTTTTTGCTGGCAAGGTGGTCCACGGACATGCCATTTTTGGCCGATACAAAACTTCTTGTCGATTTATCAAATTCTTTTAGTTTGCATGCAGCAAATTATCTCAACGCTTGCGCTTGCAAGACGTTTGATAAAAATTTTATGCGAGGCTTTAAAATGAATGCAATTTGCCGGGACAGATGCAGAGTTCTTCGAAGATTTAATTTGGGTACGCTACCGTGAGAATTTTACCCCACCGTGCCCGATGGCACACGGGTTAATTTAACGTAACCGGCGCCCTCCAGAGACTTAAACAATTCCTATAAGTTAGGAGCCTAAACTGCATTGGAAAAATCGGATATATTTATTGTATATGGCCCAGTACTCTCTCTGCCTGGGAGTGTTGAGGCCCCTGCACAGCGACAATTGCTGATACATATTATATGGAAATTTGATTGCGACATCTTTACCAGAGCCATAGACAATCTCGATGCAAGAACGACTCCGGTCGGCCAAATGACACGCCTAAAATTAAGTAAATAATATAGAACCTTTTTAACATTGACTTAACCTGGAAGATAGGCTACGTTCTCTTTGAGTGAAATAGAAATTTTTTATTTGTTACCCTTACTTTTATACTCGGAATTCTTAGCCTGTTCGTACTATTCAGAGATGACCTGGTACTATAAATATTTACTCGTCTCTTAATTACCCTATGCAAGCTCGCTTTCCCGTTTAAAATGTGCAAGTAGCAAGTTGCGGGTTTTTTAGCGAGTTTTCTCAGCTTTAAACTGAAAAGAAGAAATGGCAACCAAGTAATAACTAAGAGAATTATATTCAGTCATACTCGAATATTTTTTATCCATCATCGTTATCTTAAAAATGCCAAGAAAAAAACAAGAAAATAACTAAATTTTCATACTCTATAATATTGGGTGGACGAGGCGAGAGATCTTGTCTGTTTTTTTTTTTTTTAGAAGAAAAATGAAAATTTACATAGTGTATGTGTGTATGTATGGCACTTTATGAGCAACAACGGCACGTGGGCGTGGTAGGCATGTTCTTTCGCGGGTTTGAGTCATTTCGAAATTCTTTTGCAAATTTACAAGCGATATATACGTTTTTCCGAAGGAGAGAAGGTTTACCTCAGATGCAGCTGCGTAGATGAACCGATGGCCAGATGAACGTTTAAGTGCGTTCCGAATTTTAAATTGGAAAGGATTTATGTACTTTAGCTATTTTCTGAAGCGTATTGCTGAATATACTCCTTAGAATTATGTGACCTTATTAACTTACGAGCGATCATTACTATTGCGTACCGTTTCAAAAGTCGGCGTATATCTACATCCATGTAATACTGCATTGCAAAAATATTCAACATTTCGAGCAGACGACCATCGAAACTTTCAGGTTTATTTGATGTTACACACTTAAACACAACTACAACACGTTCTCCATTAATAGTGAATATAAGAAAAAAAATTTTTTTTTGCAAACAGATGAAAAGTAAAAAAAAAAAAAAAGGGAAAATAAATAAAAACACATTCGAAAAAAATGATGTTTTTCTGGTATTTGTTTCCTTTGCATAAACGCAAAAAATTTAAAATGAAATTTTATCGCTCGGTTAGTTATGTATGCACATATTTAATTACATATGTAAAAGAGAGCATTTTGTTATTCTTTATAAATTTTTATAAAAACGAAGGTGAAATGACGTAATTAATACAGTGAAAGCCACGAAAAGTAAACAATAGAAAATGCCGTATAATCAATATATGATTATTTATGTATGTAATGCGATATATGCGAATAAGCATGCGTAAAGAAACTGAAATAGAGAACATATCGTCCAAATATATCCGAAATTTGCGCCTTCTACGCTAAATTGAAGAATACGTTGCATACGTATCGATCGGACACACGGACAGACGAGCTTAAATCGATGCACACAATGATTCCGAATCGAACGGTTTAATGAAAGGCGAATCTGTCGCAATTCTTTCTAAGTATTACGTACATCCACAAACACCTAAAATACCCCCCAACATCACAAATGTTCAAGGATATAAAACTTGCGGACAACGTAATGAGTACAAGAGAAATAGGAAAATTACATTTGGACGTCACCGAATTTTTTATAGCCATCACAGCTATCCTAAAAAAGAAAAATTAAAAAACTTACTTGCTCCACAATATTAGTTGGGCGGGGCTGAATTTTTCTAATTTTCAGAACAAAAATGCAAATATTTTGTGGTGTATGTGTCGTACTTCATAAGTTAACCAGCAAGAAACATCGAAAACAAGGTGTTCTCAGCTTTTGTCGCACAGGCGTGTGGGCGTGGCATGTGTGTCTTTTGGAAGGTTTTGTATCATTTTCTCAAATTTTTTTACAAATTTCCAAGCGAGCGGCAGAATATTTATCACAGATACTGCACAGTTGCGCAGACAAATAAGCGCACATGCCTACTTGCATTCTGAATTTGAAACTGGCCAAGGATGACGGTATAAAATTATTTAAAAAAAAAAAAAAAAAAAAAAAATGAAATTTTAATGTACACAGAGCTTCTGATAGATAATCTGTTTATAGCTGCCTCGTAAAACTAGAACGACCAATTTTTTAGATGCCTGTCCTTCGACAGAGCTTAGAGTAGATTTATCCGCATTTTTTTGTTTTTGTTTTTTTAAATAAACTTAATACTTATTGGAAATTGCCAACTAAATCAATTGTGTTTTTTTTTTTGAGAAATTTCCCCAAATCGTACAAGTCTGTTCATTTCAGTTTTATAAAATATTTAGGTTAATGAGGGAATAATTTTAAGGCGGATTTTAAAAGGAATTGAATAAAAGTTTTGTTAAACAATACGTCGATACTTACTACTCGTAAAGGAAAGTAGAAAATTATATGTAATATATAGTTAAGTGCAGCAATTGGGAGTTTTATTAAATGTTGTAAAATTAAAAACACAAAAAAAAAAGAGAATTGAATTAGAAGACATGCGTCAAGAGAATTTAAACTACTTCGCAGTAGATCGAGGAGGAAAAATCCGGAACATTTTATTTCAACAAATAATAGAATTCTTCCCTTCAAATCGTTGCGTGAAGGTTGATATGATGCCGTGGTAGCCAGAGACGCCAAGTACTTGCCATACTAGCAAACAGAAAGACATTAGCAGTTGCATGTGATTTGGTGTTAGATGCGTAACACTTTACACCGCGTTTTAAGTTGCGGTCTGCGACAATGGAAAGTAATGGTAAATATGGGGCAAAATAACTATGTTGTTAATCTCAGCATCGAGCTGAGGATTACGTTCGCCACAGAAGAAACGAGTGCTTAGAGATATTGTTATGACTACAGGACCAAACATGGGAGGCTTTGTAGCATTGCAGCTTCTATACTCGGCCTCTACACGAATTTCATACCCGTAAACTTATGTAACAGAGAGCCTTCACCTATACCATTGCGAAAGAATCAAATCCGTTTTGACAACTCTCCGTCCTCTTTGCGATATTGACATAAAGCCTTTGTCATTATGGGCCGCAAATTCGCCGGCCAAACCCTCACCGGCAATGCATTCGGCTATAGTGTTGTAAAAGGTTGCCATTAAAGCACAACAAGCTTTGGATACAACTTTTAGGCATTTAGATATGTTGTAGCCGATAGTCATTAATTTATGAAGCGGTAACTCGCTGATTGTCGCTCATGGCAGTTACAAGTCCTGCTTGATTTTCAGCACATCTTTGATGATTTGCAGTGGTACAGTCGTTTCCTGAGACCTCATCTTCTTAATAGAAGCAATTCTCCCAGCATTGTTGTTTAGCACCAAGCGCAATACCAGTTGAGAATCATTCCTCCGTTGCCTGTCAATGCGTGCGGGTACGATCGTCTTGAGTCAGTATTACTGTGGGTGGAGCATGTTTTCATGTTCATGCCTTGAGATGCTCTTATTAAACTATTTACAAAATTACGTGACTCGCAAGCGTTACGTTTTGGGAAAACAAGTCTTCACTACCCCAAGCGAAATAAGCGACTCCTCATTTTCACAAAACGTGGTGGATATAAAAGTGGGTCTATTTTATTCATCGTTTCCATAAGGGGGCACGTAATTCCTTTTAATCACTTATCACTGGGAATCATAGCCCGGTAGGTCATAGAGTCTCTGCTAAGTCTGTTTGAACATTACATTTATTGCCTTCTGCGAAAATTATGGGAAAACATATTGAAACTTAAATTTAAGCTTATTAATAGGTTAAATTTAGTTATAAATTTAATAAGAAATAGAAAAAAAGTAGAGAAAACGAATCTCTACGATCTTTAAAAATAATAATATATGTAATAATAGACATTTTTTCAAAAACTATTAAGCTATAATACAGTCATCCTCATATTCCCGTATAATGCGTTTTTACGACCTTGTACAACGCGTTACGCATAAATAAAATAATTTAATATTGTAATAATACAATTGGCACATGTACAAAGGTACGCGAAGCTAATTATATTAATTTGGGGAAAAAGAAATCCATTATTTCTATATGAACTTCAGGACTTTATTTAACATGCTTCGGATTGTCCGATTTGGGTCAAATATGCACCGTTTTGTTGTATGATTTGTTGCCATTTTAAAGGTAACTTCAAAATGCCTCTCTCATGGAAGTCCTGGCCTCTATTTGCAAAAAACTCTAGTAGTCGATTTTCACAATCCTCCCTAGATTCCAATTTTTTATCATTAAAGAAATTTTGCAATGCAAGAAAAAGATGATAATCGCTTGGTGCCAAGTCCGGACTGTATGGCGGATGCATTAAAACTTCCCAACCAAGCTCCCGAAGTTTCTGGCGAGTCACTGTAGATGTGTGTGGCCTAGCGTTGTCCTGCTGGAACACGACACCTCTCCTGTTGGCCAATTCTGGCCGTTTCTGGTCAATCGCTATCTTCAAACGGTCCAGTTGTTGACAGTAGATATTAGAATTTAGCGTTTGGCCATATGGAAGCAACTCATAATAAATAATCCCCTTCCAGTCCCACTAAATGCATAGCAAAGCCTTCCTAGCCGTTTGAGGTGCTTCACCGCTCTTTGATCACGATCGTTTTCGCACAGGGTCATCGTATGTGATCCATTTCTCATCTCCAGTCACCATCCGTTTAAGAAATGGGTCTATCTCATTCCGTTTGGCCAAGGCTTCGCAGATGGAAATTCGATCCATCATGTTTTTTTCTGTTAATTAGTGTGGCACCCAAACATCGAGCTTCTTTTTGAATCCAGCTTTGTGTAAATGGTTTAAAACTGTTTTATGGTCGATTTTTAGTTCCTGGGCGATGTTACGACTGCTAACATGCCGGTCAACTTCGATCATTTCTCCGATTTTATCGACATTTTCGACGACCGGCCTACCTGTGCGAGGTGCATCTTTAACATCAAAAATTCCTGAACGGAATCTACGAAACCAAAATTGCACATAATTGGCTGTTACAGTATCGGAACCATAAACACCATTCACAATTTTAGCCGCCTGGCTTGCATTTTCGCCTTTGGCAAAGAAAAACTGTAAAGTGTACCGAATTTCCTCTTTGTTTACTTCCATTTTTGACACGCTGTAACTCACAACTGAATGCACCAAACAAAAAACAGCAAAAGAATCTTTTTTACTGCGAAATGTCACCTTTCCAACGAGCATAAATCTGAAATTGTTTGATCGTTACTTTACGAGAAATCTATCAGTGCGGCCATCTACCGAAAAACTAATGGATTTCTTTTTCCCCAAACTAATACATTTTACATTGCAGAAATATGTAAGTGGGAAATCCCCGCGTTATATGGGAGAATGCCCGTGCTATACGGGGGGATTGAAATCGCGTAATATGAAAACGCGTTATAAG